TGCATTTTTTTTATTTGCATTTTTTTTATTTGCATTTTTTTTATTTGCATTTTTTTTATTTGCATTTTTTTTATTTGTATTTTTGTACATTGTCATTTCGGCAATATATATATATATATGTTAAATAAAGAAGAGGGTCTTATGCCCTCGCCATTTTTTATTTTACGCGATTTTTTAGTGCAATTAGCAATTATTAATTAGTGGAGACTATTGAGTTAATTTTAAAAATCCTCGATTATAATGCAAGATAATATACATTGATAACAATACAAAAATAAATTCACGAAATACACATGCAAAAGTAAACTGATGTCATTTTTCGAAGTAATTGTGTTTTTCTCTTTTCATATATGGAAAGATTATTCGAATTTTTTTCATCGCAATATATATTAACAGAAAGAATAGATATACATATTTAAATTTTTTTTGATTTTATTGAAAAAATGTTATATCCTCCTATTACAGAAGCGCAAAAAAAAAAGAATATATCTACTATACAGGCAAATCGAAACCATGATTTTAAACATAATGTAAGATCTGTTCATCTATTACTTCGCAGAACTTGCCAGTAACATCCCGAAATCTGGCACTCATACGGACATTTCTAAAATCCTTGTCATGCCAGAAATGTATGACATTCAAACCCCTATCCTGAAGCTTTTGAGATGGCCAGTATGGTTAGTGACAACAAAATCTTCACGAGAAAAGTGTACGATCCAAACTTCTTGGGGGCAAAGGCGTTCAGCATACTTAAAGACTTGGTCGAAATGGCTGTTTAGTTTTGAAACTGATGCTGTCACTAAGAGCTCAATAAGAGCTTCAGGATGGGGGTTATCAAGATTCTTTATCGTCAAATCACAGTAATAATGATGATAGTTGCCGTCATCACAAACTTGTTCGAGATGCCACTGCCCTGTAATTTCGTAGCCGTGAATCTTCCTTAGCCAATTTGTTAAGATCCTGTACATTTCAGCATCGTACGTGCTCTCCCTCAGAACTTTATTGTGATGCTCAAAATCCACGTATATGTGATTTGAAATTTTGTATGAACGGATGGATCCTAGTGCTATTGTGCCTTGGTCGAATTCACGGACTACAACCTTTAATACTTCTAAAATGTCTATGAATCCGTTCTTTCGTAACGGAACATTTGCAGAAATATCCATGATATTACCAATGCTTCGTTTTTTTCCGGAAATAGGTGAAGAAGGTAATGAAACTTTTTGCTGATTAGAAATATCAGCTAATGGCTTTCGAGCCATTGTCCCATTAACCTGCATAAAATTACAGTAAATAAGATAATATTCTCAGAAATATCATATTTTTTGTTAAAGATACATAACCAACTCTTTCTCCAGGATTAGTAGACCTTTGTCAAAAAAATATTGTTAAACAATCTCCAGGATGAATACACTAAACACTGCAATAACCGAGGGCTTGTAAATCCCCAAGCGAAAGCTTATTGTGCTTATATATCAAACCTGAAAAACGTGCGTTTGACATAAAATAAGATACTTACTTTCTTTATGAATAAAAGGTTCCTAATTGCCTTAAGAACTTCTTGTGAAGTGCTTGGGTCATCACAGATAATGTATAAGGTGTTATAAAACACTGTATGCGCCTCATTTTTATCGATTCGTCCAAACATATTTGTAGACCAAGAGATGAAATGCTGAATAGACCACATGTCATGTAAAAAAAGCCAGAAATATTTGATTTTACCCTTTTCAAGAACTTTTGTTTGTTTCTTAAACATTCTGGCTTGTTTATCTAGCTTCATAGCAGGCCCTCGTTTCATTCCATCTTCCATAAACTTTCTTTCGGTCATATCCGGAAAAATCTGACTATCGATTTTTTCTTTGCGAAGTATTTTATAGTCATCTTCGTCGAGGTTTAAATTTTGTCCGCGCAAAAAAATAATAAGAGTTTCAGGATTCCAGTTTTCAGCAAAGAGAGCGGTTGGAGTAATAGTGAGAGAAGACATAATGATTATTTGGTTGGTAAGCAAAAAATTCAGTTAAGTAGTAATGACAAATTTTGAAATAACTGTCCATACCCTATGTCTTTTATAAAGAATGATCAGCTAAAGACGCGTTTATTTATGGATCACAGTATCACATCGATCAAAATGCCATTTAGTGTGTGCATGACGCCAATCACTTTTGCCAAGAAAATTTCTCGCACACGGGACACACCTACCATTCACGTGATTTTGTACTTACCAAATAACAACCCTAGCGTCGCCCGGAATAAATTGTAGCCGGATTTTTTGCTGGCCTTCATGTGACTTCGGATATTGTTTTCCCAGGTTTAAATACTTGGTCGACAATTCATTTTTTTTTTTTTTTTTTTTTTCGACAATTTATTTTACATATCAATACCAAAAAGAAAATCAGTTTAACTAAGTTGCCCGGTTAGTATATTATTGAGTACTAGGGTCACAACTACTATATGTTCTTTTTTTATTTAAATAACGTAAAAAAATTACATTATCATTATATATAATTATTGCCCACCACGAAGATGGAACTAAATTTCCTTAAATATTGTAAGAGAATGTATATTCCCTAAATGTTTGTTAGCAAAGATAAGATGC